TCGAGAGGTCACGTAATTTCTTTCTGCTGCGTGACTCCCATCAGAGCCATTCGCAGGTTCACAACTTCTCTGGGCATTTTTTCCCCCACCAAGGCCTGAAGCTTCTTTGTGCCTCAGTTTACCCACCTGTAGGATGGGGATAGTGCTGCTGGCTTCTTTTGTAAAGCCCAGATGAAATGTGGCTGTAAAAGCCTTGACCAGAGCTGGGGATTAATGTTTTTTTATTTAAATTAAACAAATTTAATAACTATTCATAAAAGCATTGCCTAAAGCATCCAGAACCTCAGGATGGGACCTTCTACATCTTAATTGCTTCACACATAATTGACCCCTTGGGGAACTGCACCGGTTGCCCTTCGAAGAATTGTACTGCAGGCTTTGCAACAGATACCTGGGCACAGACCAGCCCCTCGGTTATACCCGGTAACGCCTCCGCGAGCGAGTCAGGGTTGAAAATCTCCCTTCCCAAGAGCCTGAAAGCTAAGCAACGCAGAGGGATGGGGATGGGGATGGGGATGGGGATTCCCCCCCCCCCCATGATTGTAAACTTGTTCTCGTTCCCTCTAGCGCCAAACAACAAGCCGGCGCTTTGGGAAAAGGCGATCTTTGTTAATAAGGCAAAAGGCATCATTCATAGCCAGGCCACATTTGACATCTTGAAGAGATCCTCCAGCAAAGCCAAAGGCGGTGCTCCCGGCCAGGACCCCCAGCTCTCCGCCCTGCACCGGAGCGTCCTCACAGCCCACCCAGGAGCCCCCTGCACCTGCCAGCCCCTGCTGCAATCCCCCTTGCCCATTCCTCTCGATGCCACGGCTTTGCCCTCTGCCTCCTTCATGCCGCTCTGAGACTCAGCATTGGGGGCTGCCGGTGGCCAGGGTGAGCCACCCTGGCAGAGAGCAGGTACTCACAGCAACGAGCATCCAGCAGAGCAGGCTCCTCTTCATCCTGCAGGTGGATGTTTGCAAAAAGCTGGAGACGAACCTGCTGGGAAGAGGAACACAAAAGGTCACTGGAAAGTCAGCGAACGGTGCCCAAGCAGTTTGGCACCCTCTCATTACGAGCCCACTCAGCCCCGCTGTCCTGTTTATCCCTGCAAATTACAAAGCAGCCGGCAGGACATCTCGGGAACCTGGAATCTAGGAACCGGAGGCTGGCGGAGCCGTTTCACGGGCTTCCCCTTGCCACGCACGGTCCCTTTGCCTGGAGGGGGGCAGGGGAGAGGGGTGAAAGTCAGCAGCAAACGTGGCTACCAGGCTTGGTAGCTCTGGGCCACTTGCAAAACAGCTCCTGCATTTCCAGAGGGCCTCAAAATACAAAGAAAAAACCCCTAACCCCAACAAAATGCCCAGCCTCCGTGTGCGTGTGTGTGTAGCAGGTCCTGCATATGGCATGTGCTGTGTTGCATGGTACATGTGTATGCAGCATGCGTGTAGCATGTGCTGTCCACCATGTAGCATGTTGCACATGTTTAGTATGCGCATATGAGCCGCTCCCTTCGACAAACATGCCTGGCTGTCTTTGGCAGGAGTAAGATGCTCCCCAAAGTCCTCAGCCACGTCTCCCTGCAGCATCGGAGGCGGTGCCGTCGTTTCTAATCCCTGCAATGCTCCAAGCCTCTCGCTCTGCGCAGGGAGCTGAATACAGCTCCAGAGAGCCTGGCCTTGGAGCGGCGGTGAGGAATGATGCATTTTAGGCATTAATGGTCTCTGCAGAGCCTGCAATGAAGTGTCCAGCAAGCTGCGTTCGTTTAAAAGTGGTGGATGCGACGGCTGGCGAACCCGCCCCTCCCGTGCCGCGATCGGAGGCATGATTTGGTTACCAGACGCACGTCCCTGGACAACTGCACTTGCTTTGCGGAGCTGTCCAGAGCCCTGTGGGGACCCTGGGATCGGGGCCAGCAGCAAAGCAGAGACGACGAGCTGGCAGCGTCTCTGCGCAGTGCAGCGGGAGAGAAACCACAGCACTGCCTCCCAGCTCCGCTCGAGTCCGGGGGAGCCGTGTCCTCCTGCTCCACGCAGCCCAGACCCCCCCAGAGACTTTACTGCATCTTTGAGACGGCGTCAGAGGTCCGAGCGTCTCCTAAAAACCCCCAGTCTAGCCATTCCTCTCGCTTCACCTGCAAATATCACCCACGGGGACCATCGCGCTGCCGCTCAGCAATGAAAACCCTGACCAGGACGTGTAGGCAGCCCCTTGGCTTTTGACCTCTGGCTTCAGAGCATCTCTCAACATCTGCTGCTACCCCAAGAAACCTTTGCCCATCTGATCCTTACCGCTTAGCAGGCAAGCAGCAGGGAGTGAAAGCATGGGGAAGCGAGGAGCAGGCGGAGGGCACTGGGCATAGGGGATGCGGCCAGGCGGGAGATCAGGCACCAGGAGTCCAGATTACACCCGGTCTCTTCGGACAGCGTCACTGGACAACGCGATTGGCTTTTTGCTGCCTTGGGATGGCAAGGAGCTTGGACATCCATAGCTGGTAATGGCAAAACCCAGCCTGGTGCAACAAAGGGAAACTGAGGCAAGATGGGCACGCAATGAGCAGACAGCGAGAAGCACGCCAGACTGATCGCGGACCCAGGAGTCGGGCGCAGCGGGGGGTGCTTTCGGCGCGACCGAGGGTCCAGGAAGGGTGCTCATCCTTGCCTGGTCGAGGGCCCACCCTGCCCATAGGCTTGTCGCTCCCACAGCTGATTAGAGCTGCCAGCGTCCTGGGTTTGCTTTCTCCGTGGCTCTTCCCATGGAGAAGCTATGATTTCACACTGGAAAATGGGCACGTTGGACACTAGCTAGTGCGAGCAAGGTCACGACTCTCCACGGGAGAGCTAAGTGCCGCCCCTACAAAGTGACATCCCCAGCCGGCAGCCCGGGGACCCACAACACGACACGACACAGGAAGCGAGGGTGTTGGAGAGAAGCTGATTACAGTCATTCGAGCCCATGACCAAACCGCTCCCTAATTTCCAAGTAACGTGTTCATGCGGTTCCCCGCAGGCCGACACCCCCGAGCTGGGGCGAGACCTGCGTCTCCCAAAACGGAAGGGAAGGGAAGGGAAGACAGCCGTGCTTTGTTAAGCGAGAGGAAGAAATGCAAAAGGGAAGTCACAAGGCCGATGCAGCAAAGCAAGCAGGAATCCAAATCAGACCCTGTCGGCACAGGGGAAGCCACGTAGGAGCAGCTAAACGCCAATTTTGCTCCTGTTCCCCTCGCTGCTCTCATACATACGCTCGGTTTGCAACTGGGTGCTACGCGATTCACGCGAGTTAGGGGAAGGGGTGGGGTCAGACGCCCGAAGCAGCCAGCTTGGAAAGCAGAGCCTCCCGCTTCTTCTTGCTTCTCCAGCCTGAATGCCAAGCAGCAACGGCACATTCAATTGATCTAAAGCCGACCCGATTACCTGCCAGCGCAGGCAGCTGAGCCCAAGTGCACCGTGAGATGGGAGGCGATCGATATTTTGATAGATTTCCTTCATTTCCCCTCAGGGACAGGGATGGGCCAGAGGCTGTTCAAGTTCACAGCCTCGTCTCGAAGGCTTCTCACGAACCCGCCTGCTCTTTCGCCTCAACCGCAACGCAGTCCCGAGAGACCCGCGGCACGCTCGCTCCCGGAGCAGATGAGCGCAAGGACTCAGCAGTTTTGGCTGTGAAAGGCAGATGCATTTAACTGGGGAGCGTGGAGCAGCCACCTCTCCTAAACGGAGACCTAAAAATACTCCAGGCGTCTGAGCATTGCAGGCTGCAGAGGACAAAAGGGTGTGTGTCGAGGGTGGTATATTTGGAAGGGCATCGAGTCGGAGCAAAGTGGTCCAGGGAGAGAAATCTAGACCAAAAATGGCAGGGGGGTGGGACCACAAAAACAACTGCTCTCTCCAATTTAACTACATTAAATTAATTTAGTTGAACTTAAAAAAAAAAAAGATTGAACAAACAGTTTAATTATTAAGAAAAATCTCATTAAAATGAGAGGAAAAAAAGGGGTTTGGAGTCCGTTTATTTTATGGAGCCGGCAATAGGCCACGGTCCTGCCCGTGTGGTGCCTGCTAAGCAGCAGCCAGCGTTCGAAAGCAGGATTTGGCCATTAGAGACACTAAGCATCAGACGGCACAGCTCACAGGTCCCAGGCATGCACTGGGAGCATGGAGGGTGCGTGGAAACGTGCCTCTGCCTCCTGCGCCCAGGTACTAGCCACAGCAGAGCCAAGACACCTGCCAGGTACCCGCCACGGGCAGATGGGAAGCACGGCTGTACTCCAAAGCAGAGCCTCGGGCTCCAAGTGCCACCGCACAGCTTGCGGAGGAGTCTTTTGACCTGCCGGCATCCCAAACGCAGCTCGGGATCTATGAGTCTGCCGGCGTCCTGCTCTTCTCGCAAGCACGAAGCCTCTAAAAGGACCCTCTGGGATCTCTAGAGAAGGCAGCCAGGCTTTTGACAGCCATTGCTGCTGTATCGTTCCCAGGTTGCCTCTGGCTGCCCCTTGCTTCCAGGGGCTCATAAAACCCATTCGAGTCTAGCCATCCCCCTCATTTCACCTCCAAAGTCCTCCCCCAGGACAGCAATTTCAGAGCAGTAACGGTCCTGCCCTCCGATCCGGCTGCTTGCCTTGCAACCTCTTGCTTTACAGGCAGACACAGCGTCTGCCAGCATCTCCGGGGAGTCGGGTCAAGAGGCTTGGACTGCTCCACCGCTTTCTAAAGCACGTATCCAAGCCAAGGGAGAAGCAGGATGCTGCCGAGCTTTACTGTGGAGCAGTAGGCCACCTCCGCCAAGCCTCTGCAACCAGCAACCCCAGGTCACCCATCAATCCTGAGCCCACCAGTGAGCAGGCGGGAGAAGGCTGTTTCAAGCACAGCACTACGTCACTGTGATCTCCGTGCAGACCGGGCTGCGGAGACCCCACCACCAGCCCCGCGCACCCCTCTCCCCAGAGCTGGCAAAGCTAATTGTAAACCCAGCCTTAATATGGGAGCTCTTCTCATCCCGGAGAAGCAGGGGACTGCACCTCACAAAACACTCCCGCCAGGCTGGAAGACACGCACACCGTGCTCCTTCCCCAAGCGGTCTTATTCAGGCGCGCCGCTGTGCCTCCGGTAGCGAGAGAAGCTGCAATTTAAAGCTGTTCTCTAACAAAAGGAGACCGAGGAAGATGGTCGTTAGGAGACGGCCCCACAGTTAAGTTGAGCGCTGCTCGATGTTTCAGGTCCATGACGCAGATGAATGGCACGGGACGGTCCACAGGCTGGATCGGACCCTGCGCTAACCCCACCCATGGGCATCAGGCCCTAGGCGCTGCGCTGCCCCCATTAGGTCCCAGTGCCAGGACCCTGGGGCCTCGCACCACTCTAGTGCACCGGGATCCACCCCATAGGCTGCAAGCGAGCCCTCACGTTGCCCTGCGTGCTCAGGGATATGGCTTGTGGGGCTCCCCATGTACCTGGGCCAGATCTGACCTGCAGGCTGGGGGCTGAGCACCCCTGAGCTAGGTCTAGTAAGTGAGAGATAGACCAAGGCTCTGCAGAGGTCGCCTACTGCTCCACAATACAGCTGGTTGTCAGTTCTTCTCATTCACGTGCACCTGTGTTTACTGAACCTGGTGATCATGCTTTCACTGCCAGCTGCTTTGCCACTGAAAGGTGCCAGGTACATAGTGATCCACAACAACCCCCAGGGCAACAGAAGTACAAGTTGGTTTTCCCCATGAGGGCTCCAGCATTCAGCTGGGAGCCGGAGATCACGTGCCGAACCTTGCCTGGCTAGGCTGCTGTATGAGCTACCCATAGCACGCCACCATTTCACAGCGAGATGCCTACTGCTTGTTCGGTCTCTTGCTTTTTTGTTTCGACAGCAAAGGCAAGGCCTAAAGTAGGCCTCCCTTTTACTCTTTGGGCCTGACCCTGAGAGCAGGCAGGATGCGAGTGCAGCCGGTTTTGGTAGCCCCTCCACCCCATCTACCCCGGACGCCGTGGCTTTGCTGGGACGGGCAGTGCTGGGGAAGCGCCTTGGGCAAGTGAGCTGCTTGCAAGGTCACAGGCGCTAGAAGGAGGCCCCGTTGCATGCCCAGCCCACCAAAACCTCCAGCTCTGGGCCATGGGCAGGAGAAGTTATGGCTTCAATGAACCTGTCCCAAGACTGGTTGGCTTCTCTTGTGCCTCAGTTTCCCCCTCTGAGGAATAAGGCAAATGCCCCCTTCCTGGGGC